TTGACCGAGGAGATGATGGAGTTCGTAAGTCTCATTAAAATGTTGTTCAACTGTGGAAGTGGTGTTAAAAAAAGTATTAAAATCTACCGTGAGCTTGTTTTGAGGTCGGAAAATTTCGCGCGAGCAAATAATTTTAGCAATACAGGGCTCCGCGGAGATGCTACAAATCTTCCTTTTGAGGGCCATAAAAATGGTGGAATAATAATAAAGAAAATACTTTTGGAGCTTTAAAGTTTTACTTTTTTTTCATACGATTCAAAATTTATCTCTCTGTATTTTTCGCGACTCACAATGTTTCAACATTTCTACTGACTTTGAGGCATTTTTCCAGCAGAACATTTTAGCATTTCATACATCCGCTCAAACCGTAACAAGAGGATTTCATTACAAGGAATTATGCATCCGTTCAAACCGTAACAAGAGGATATGATTTCAAGGAATTGAGACTAGCTATGGAAAATAATGTTACCTTTTTCGTCCTCGCTTGTTCCCGGTTTGTTAGTCGAACGAGCCTTACAAGGACTTCCAACATCGTCACTTGTCGCGGACAATTTGTTTATGTCTTCTGCACCGCTTTTTTTCTTTCGTATTTTTGCCATCTTGTTCGCTGATCTTTTAGCCGTGCGGCAAATCACTGTTAGAAGCGACGAAAATCGCTTCGCGGTGTCCCCCATAATTCCAATCACTCGATCTTGGTCGCTTGCTTCACAATCCGGCTCCAGGTCGTCAAATATTTGGCTCTCGCTCGATGAGGCCTGATATAGAATTAAGTGAAAAGATTAAACCTCGAAGAAGTCAGTGACAGCTGCGGTATACAGATGACAAATACTTACATTTGTGCAACCCAGTCAATATAGCCAGACTGCTCAATATGTGCATTAATTGAATATACATTGAGGCTGTTGACCAATGGCTTCACACAAATCGAACTGTCGGTCTTTCAACTAAGCACTTATGGACTTGCTTACATTGCAAAGTGGGTCTTGCTTTATTCCATTCAGAACTCGGCTTTGTGAGTTCTTTTGTTTACCATTAACTTAATATTCGAAATTGGATATTCTTTGAAAACCAGTGGACAATGGTACTCCGGTTTAAAAATTAAGGCGAATTTTAATGGCGAGAAAAATTATACCGCCAATTGGCATCTCACCTGCAAAACGCGAATTTGCTTTCTTCATTTTTGTCCCGTAAAACTGCTTTCTATCTGGGCCACGAAAATAAATTTTCCTTATCTCTTTTTCCTCTCACAACAATAAGCGAATGCTTTTAGTCAGAATTCTGTGAATAATTAAAGAAATTATCTCCAGGAGGAAAAAGTAAAATAGGATTTGAAAAGCAAAACAGCTGGGAAGCCTCAATTTAGCCCTGCTCTTTATTTTCATTGGTTAATTTACAAAGATAAAAGCCACTTTAGTGGCCGTAAGCGTATTAGACTGACATATACTCAATTTCCGTTTTTTTCTTGTCTGCAAGTGCTCAAAAGGTGCAAATCCATTTGTATTTAGAGGCGAAAAAAATAATGTTTATTCGGCATAACGATGAAAAAAAATTTTTCATGAAAATAAGCAAGGATAAAATAAATTTGATATCAGGCACATATTTTTTTCATACCAGTAGGGGACCTGAAAAATCGATATCCCTAGAAGAAGTTTAATATTTAATTTTTTTTTTCACAGATATAAAATGTTTTACCTATGTGTCAATTTATTTCATGTAATCATGAGACGAAAATTAATTTCCCACGCATTATGTCTATGAAACCTTTGCTAAGTGAAAGTTTCTCTCCACTGAAATTGATCGCAGTTTGTTTAAACTTTATGTCTTAGAAAATGTGTTTAAATATTATATACATAAATTTTTCTGACTTGGCGGTTTTATGTCTCGATTTAAATTTGAATGAAAACAAAAACCTGCCTTCGGGGAAAGAAATAACACTCTTTAAAGGTTCAAAACATATCAGAGTTTCAAGAGCATTATGAAATACAATCAAATCCCAATCTTTCACAGCGCACTACCGACCGACCAACAACTTCATCTAATATCAATCGCAACGGGTAGTACATGTTTCGTCTGTTGGAGCGATATGAACAGTATCTCACCCATATCTATGAGGAAATTGTGAACATTTTCTTGATACATGGCTAGTGTATTTTTGCGAGATATATCTTTTTTATCGCTGCGTTAAAGAGTCTAAAAAAATGCGTAGGCATTTTAATACTGATTGTTATACACGTTGTACACGATTCTTTCTCTCGTTTGCTGATAAATATAACGCTTGTTTACAAAATTTCCACGCACTTGCAAGTAAATAATATTAAAATAGACTCGAAGTCAGCACTAAGACTTCTTGGATTAAACATCAATGTTAGTTTTACTTTTCATTTTATGACCCGTCTTCTCTGGTCTGCGCGGGTAACTAGTTTCTATCTCTCAACAATACATATTTTACCTGTAAAGGAACAGCTTCATTCTCTTGATGTGCTCTTAATCTCTGGTTTGTTAGAGGAGCTTCTTGAGCGACAGGAGAGGTTCTTCTTGCTCGAGCCATTCCATTAAAAGAATGCTTAACCGTGGCGTATACCCTTCTTGCTACATATGCTGCAGTTGTCCTAGTGTTTCCTTTGAGTAAGTCCTACATTGCTCGACCTCGCAATTCAGGACATTGGCCATTTAACATGAACCAAGCATGCGCTATCGAATAAGTTATGTTGATTTTTTATCTTTATTCGGAAAACCAATCACAAAAGCCAAAACAGGTGATATCGTTAACCACTTTAGAATAAGCTATGTCTTCACTGTTATCTCCAGTCTGCTTGCTTGATATGTCTACATAACATCACCGATAAATGAAAGAAACTTTGAAGGCTATTAACTAAATGATGAATGATGTTTTTGATTTCTTCAGTTCCATAATCACGACAAAATATGTTTTTTTGTTTCGAATTTCAAGTTTTGCGACCATTTGCATTCCTCGTATTTTTGTGGCGGGAACAAAGCCGTTTGATCCTTCTGTGGGATCGGCTTAACTTTAACCAGACTTTGTTGTTTCCGAACTAAATCCACCATTAATTTTATCTGTTCATTAACATAGTAACATTTGTTTTCAGTCAGGCAAATTTACGTATTGGTATGCAACTGACGTTGCCATTGAATTAAGGCACATTTGCACCATATAGCTTTTTTGTGTCCCACTATTCTCAGTCCTTAAGGTTTCCGCGTACGCAGGACCATACCTAAACTATTGTACTCAAGTATGCCATACACTGTGCTCTCGAATGTTTTTTGAAAGTCATATTTATGTCGCTTGTCCAGCAAAGTGGTTCCATCTTGTTTTATAGATAATTATTACAGATCCAATCACAATAAAATTCAAACTTTTAATTAAGAGGAATTCTATTGTGGTAAGCTTTTTCAATCCTTGTTTTACCGTCCTCGTCGGCGCTCATAGTGCACGATTTAAGTTTGGCCTTTCAACATCCTTAATTTTTCATCAGCGAGTCTTTTTAAAGAAATTGAGACTGTTTTTGGTAGAAAGGCTTACTAGAGTGCTTTTTCTGAGGTTCTTCAGCATGTCGAGTCCGAATTGAGCTTGGGTTGCACTGTCTACGAGTAAAATTTTTCTTGAGTTGTGTCTCGCAGCTGTCAACGATGATTTCATTTAGAACTTAATGTTGTATTGGATTTATGTTGACGTCAAGAAAATTTCTTACCTGCCTGACCAAACTGATAAGTTTATTATAAATCTGTATCGCATGACATGGTCATTACATACTTTACGCTACGTGCTGGTACTCAGGTAAACTAATTTAGCTCAATATATTGCAAAATTTAGCTATAAAACTTGCAAAAAACTTTTCTTAAACAAAATTTTTAGAAATTTTTAAAAAGTCAAAAAAATATACGGCGTTTCGACGTTCTCGGACGTCATCATCAAGTAAAATAAAATACAAGCAGGGGTGTTACAACCAGGGGTTCTTACAACCAGGGGTCTTACAACCAGGGGTTCTTACAACCAGGGATCTTACAACGAGGGGATTTTACAAGCAGGGGTCTTGCAACCAGGGGTTCCTACAACCAGGGGTCTTACAACCATATGTTCTTACAACCAGGGGTCTTACAACCGGGGATTCTTACAACCAGAGGTCTTACAACCATGGGTTCTTACAACCAGGGGTCTTACAACCAGGGATTCTTACAACCAGGGGTCTTACAACCATGAGTTCTTACAACCAGGGGTCTTACAACCAGGGATTCTTACAAGCAGGGGTCTTACAACCAGGGGTTCCTACAACTAGGGGTCTTACAACCAGAAGTTCTTACAACCAGGGGTTGTTACAACCAGGGGTTTTACAACCAGGGGTCTTACAACCAGGGGTTCTTACAACCAGGGGTCTTACAACCAGGGGTTCTTACAACCAGGGGTCTTACAACCAGGGGATTTTACAACCAGGGGTCTTACAACCAGGGGTTTCCACAACCAGGGGTCTTACAACCATAAGCTCTTTTCTTTAATTTAAAGCTAGTCTGTAATGTTTTAGATATGTGCGTCCGTTTTTACTTTGGTAGGTTGGTTTTACAATGGTTCGTAACCGCGTAAAAGAGGGAATCTATTCAATATTATACTGAAAACACTAATAATAACCTTGTTACTACATTTAAGGGATATTTAACATTAATTATTGCGTTTTACTGTACGTTTTTACGTGGAACTCTTGACCCAGTGGTAGTTTCCAAAGTTAATCATACACGTCTTTTTAAACCGCTGTCGTTCTATCCGTGGAAGGGGTATTTTGCAGAACGTTGAATGGCCGCCGAACGCCTAATGACTGTGACGTTTAGTGATTAGGGTTAGGGAACTGAGTTTGTCCATTCCATTCCATTTAGGGTCATTATACAGGGCAAAGGGACTTAAAATATTATTCACTCAGTTTCCTAACCCTGATCACTAAACTTCAGAGACACAGCCTTGCAAAATACCGCTACCATTCAATCTGTTTAACCTAACTTGAGTGGCAACAAAACCGTCTGATCGTGGCCTTCACTTCTTGTCTCGCGTCTTTGATCCTCCAACAGTAGAGAATTGGGTTCAATGATGAGTTTACGTAAATCAGAGTGAATGTAAATATCCAAATAGTGTTCGCTGTCGTACCACTCGAACCCTTTATCGTTATCGCTATGGCACAGATAATAAAAGGAATATAACATGCGATTAATGCCAACTGCACCCACGCAATGCTCCAAACTGTTTTTTTGTATCTCCCTATATTAGGTGGCATTCCCTCTCGTCTCTGCTGTCCTCTGTTTTGTACTTGAGTTTCGAATTGTCTAAGTGTCATAAAGATCTTTGTGTAACAAAAAACCGAGATGACTATAACTATGATTAAAAAAATGACGCCTACTATTGCAGCAACGCTAAAGCTCGTAAAAACTCTCAGTAATACAGCTGCAATTCCAGTTAACCAAAAAAATGACAGAAGAGCTCGAGTGTGCCTTAAATTTACAATCGTTCTGTATCTTATTCCCAGCAAAAGAGCAAGAAGTCTATCGACACTTATTGCACTTAAGGTGAGGATGGAAACTGCACACAAAATGAAATCGATGGCAGTGGCAATGTTCCTTAAGTAGTTCTGGATATCTGTGTTCATCTTTATAAAGGTGCTAAGCCGAATTGTTACGAAAAGAGGTTGTGAAATAAGTCCAACGCAGAGATCAGTCACTGCTAAGTTTCCAAATAGCAGTTTTGTTGGTGAGTGCAGAGAAGTTACTTTGGGGAGAGCATTCAGGATCAAGGCATTGCCAAGGGAAGCTGTGATAGCAAGGAAGATGTTCAAAGCTAACAGAAATACTTCCACGTCTGTTTGCATTGGGATTAATTGGGTCAGCAAGGTTGTGATGTTCACTTCTTCAGAACTTGTCATTGTTTTCGAGTTTAAATCATGGAGGCGCAAACGTGTTATCTTCGTCTAAGGAAGGAAGGTATGACCAGTTGCTCTTGATAAACTCTCAATTTTAAAGTTAAATTAATTTGGGGGCGTGTTGTTAAGAAAAATACAGCACTTTAACTTTGGACAAATTTACATACAAAAGGATATTGTGACATGGGCCCACTGGCGAAAGTGAGCTGCAAACTTCGTTGAAATAGCCACTAGTAAAGATTTTGGCCCAATTACTTTTGAATACCTCCACAACAATCTGGATCATGATTTAAGTCTCCATGCCCATCTTGGCACCAAAACCGAGTTTTACTCATCACCCCTTCCTACCAGATCTTCCGTTAGAGGGTCAAAAATGCAATATTAGCTTTCGACTAAGTTCGCTCTTTATGGGTAATTTCACTCTAAAAATGGAGAGTTTCCGTGCGGGTTAAAGCAATATCATGAAAATGTCACAAGTCATTATTAATTAAACTTGTATCCTGTTTTCGCCTTGATCATCCCTAACGTATGTAGCTTCTCAATGCTTGTTTTAATAAGCGATTTTGCCTAAGGGATAAAGAAATGGTCGGCTAATATCGATGGGAAGAGATACACAAGCTAGAACAAAGTTAATCTTAACGTCTAAGTCGGTGAAAAATTCTGATAACGACCTACCCACCCTCCCTGATAGGAAGCAGGGCTAGAGATGACGCTTTTCCATGTTGATCCATCATCTCGCTTGGTTTAGCCGTTTCCCATGCCAGAGGGACTCCTCGAACGGGTAGTTTCATGGCGTGACAGACGAGTGCGATCACCAGCTGTCGTAATATAAAGGACTGAACAATATATACTTAACGGTATAACCACACCACAAAAACATGGTAGCAGGTCATCAATAGTTTCCGCACAACGAAGAAACGCCCCCGCCAGATATAGGTATCGATATAGGTAATTAAGTTGTTAGAATACGTTAGGTTGGCATTGTAAATTTCTGGATCTCAACAGACCGTGGTCCGGCAAACGTGGCAGGAAAAGCGAAAAAAGTCGACACGTATGACTTCTTTGTGCACGATTGCACTCAGGAACAAAACCGTAGGCCATAGTTTTCTTCCGTCGTTCCACAGTGCAAATGACCCTTCTCTGTCAAAAAAGATTGATCATGAAATATTAAAATATTGCTACCATGGCAACGTCACATAACACTTCTCCTTTTTATACAAAAGCTTCCATTAAGAATAAGTTTCAACTTTGATCCTTTACAGTCATTCAATTACGTCGCAGACAATTAAAACGACAAAAGAAAACATCGTAATAAATCAAGTATATTTCCTACGTTGTTCTCAATCTAACACTTTTAGTTAGACTATTGGCCATATTTGAACTCTCTTCTTCCCTAAGAAAAGAAAAGGTTTCCTTGTTTTAATAGTGTCGGCGACTTACACTTTACCGTGATGTATCCTAGCAGCTGTCGGTAACATTTTAAAATCCTTTTTTTAATTCAAATTAAATTTGATATTAACCTTGTACAATTCAATGCCCCTTTTGGTTAATCTGTTTCGTCTTTTACTGAAGCTAGTGTCTAACGTTTCAGATATGCTCGTAGATATCGATTTTGGTAGGGTGGTTTTATCGCTGCTAATAACTAAGTAAAAGAGGTAACTCAAGCTGTTAAAAAAAAAAGAACTTTTTGATTAAATTTAATTGGTACCACTGTATTGGCTGCAGTGAAACCCAAATGGGCTTAAAGGGGCCATGTTATGACATCTGCTATCTTTTTAAAAACATAAAACGTGTCTTTGTATCAACCAAATGCTAACAATAAGGGCCCAGTTTTATTATTTAATAAAGGATTAAAGGAAGATCCTGTTAGTTGTAAACGTTGGATCTCTAGAAAAGAGATCAAATCAGCCAAAATATAAAGAAACAAAAACGAGAAGTCCGAAGACTACAGCAAAGCTGATTAAAAACAACGTGTATTGTTTTTAGTATTTTTCCTTTCCAGTTTTTATGTTGTACGTCATTTCCGTCTCTCCCTTTTATTGCGACGTTCTACATCTATATAATATTGTGATTGCTACATACGTTCAGTAACATCTGTAAACCTGAAGAAGGCTGATATGGCCAGCCGAAATATTGTTATAAAAAACAATACACGTTGTTTTTAATCAGCTTTGCTGTAGTCTTCGGACTTCTCGTTCTTATTATTTAAGACTATTTTTAGGTATTGAAAACGTTTTCTCTCGTCCGTTGCCAAGAGTAGAAGAGGGGGGGCGGCATAGATTAAAAATTGCAAAAGGTGGGCAATATTGCCTAGAAAAAAAAGTTGGAAAAATGGCCAATTTTTGACCAAAACCATGGACTAACCCCTTTAGAAAAATCTCAATTTTTCGACTGTTTGAACGTTTTGTTTTTGTAGAAAGGCGTTTATTCCCTTTTAGAATATAATAAAAAAAAACATTTTCCCGGCTTATACTGCATAAAAAAAAGAATGGAAAAATGGCCAATTTGAACCAAAACCGTGGACAAAAGCCTTTTGGAAAGATCTAAATTTTTTATCGTTTTGAACTTCAAACACAGCTTTCAAGATTGTAAAAGTATCGATCGTATATAGTTAGAAAAACGGATTTTTTTTTAAAGCGATTAAGCGATGATTTTTGTCTTTTAGAGATTTTCAAGCACCATTTTGTCCAAAGTTCTTATAACTTACAACATGCTTTGTCACGATGATACCGCTGCCTTAAGTCACTTCTTTTCAGAAGCCATTATCTCGTGCCTTCACCTAGATACATAATGCATCTTTAGAGTAATGAAGAAAATATCAAAAACTTTTGTTCGGGGAGCACAATCCATAATAATGTTTTGGTGAATTTTGCAGGCATCGCATTTAAACTTGAAAAAGTATCACGAAAAAATGCTTTTCTAAGTTATAAAAGCAAGACGTTGAAAAGTGTCGCGTGACCAGTTGGCCCTGTCCTTAAATTTAGGGATATTCCGGACTGTTACACCCAGGTGTTCCTATAGCCAGGGGTTCTTACAACCAGGGGTCTTACAACGAGGGGGTCTTACAACAAGGGGTCTTACAACCAGGGGTCCTTACAACCAGAGGTCTTACAGCGAGGGGTTCTTACAACTAGGAGTACTTACAAGGAGGGTTTCTTAGACCCGGGGTTCTTACAACCAGGGGTTTGACAACCAGGGGTTTTACAACTAGAGGTTTTAGAACCAGGGGGTTCTTACAACGAGGGGTCTTACAACCTGGGGTTCCTACTACCCTGAATCTTTGAGCCAGGGGTTTTAACAAGGATAGGTCTTACAACCAGGGGTTCTTACAATCAGGGTTCTTACAACCAGGGGTTCGTACAATCAGGGTTCTTACAACGAGTGGTCTTGCAAGCATGGGTCCTACAACCAGGGTTTATTACAACCAGGGGTTCTTACAGCATGGGTCTTACAACCTGGGATTCTTACAAGAAAAACCAGTAACCAGAAAAATTCATATTCCTCCATGATAATTATCCTTGTGACCGATACGTCATTCTGTTTTATTAGGAGTTTTTAAAAATTTGTCAACAAATACTTGTGTCCGTGTACAGACATTTGAGGTGTTTGGTATTTATTTTCTCCTTATCACATAAGTAATAAAAAAGCTGCAATGGTCACTTTAAAAAAAATACTTAAGATAATAGAGAGAATTTAGAATCACGTTCATTGTAAACGTAAACGCAAATTATACTGTAGGTGACCATGTTCATTTTCCTTAACTCTGTGCTCTTGGTTCTTTATATCTATTCAGTAACGAAAGTCTTAGGCCATTTTCTTTCATAAGAATGATTTTCATTTGTTATTTGGCTATCTCCTACTTTGAGAAATTATCAAAATTGAATCTGACGTTTGCCGTAAACTTGATTCTAACTCTGATGACTATAGTAAATGTGTCGATATTTAAACAGACTACTCCTCCTTAGTAAAAACTTTTACCGTTATATTAATATTTTAAAGGGTTTTTTAACTCTGTACTCATGTAAACGTTTTCTTTTGTTCCGCGAAATTTACTTTGGCACTGGTAACGTGAGTGAAAACGATCAAGAGCCCAGGCGACCTCCATAGCCTGCGAATTCAATCTATACTTCAAATAAGTGAAAAATGTAGCAGATGTCGACGACATTGCAAAATCCTTTATAATTTAAATTATTTTGATATTAGCCTTTTAAAATTTAGTGCACCCTCTCCAGTAATTTTTTTGGTAGAAAGCTCTTTTCTTTAATTTAAAGCTAGTCTCTAATGTTTTAGATATGCCCGTCCGTTTTAACTTTGGTAGGTTGGTTTTAAAATGGTTCGTAACCGCGTAAAAGAGGGAAGCTATTCAATATTATACTGAAAACACTAATAATAGCCTTGTTACTACATTTGAGGGATATTTAACATTAATTTTGGCGTTTTACTGTACGTTTTTACGTGGACGTCTTGACCCACCGGTGGTTTCCAAAGTTAATCATACACGTCTTTTTAAACCGCTGTTGTTCTATCTGTGGCAGGGGTATTTTGTAGAACGTCGAATGGCCGCCGAACGCCTAATGACTGTGACGTTTAGTGATTAGGGTTAGGGAACTCAGTTTGTCCATTCCATTCCATTTAGGGTCATTATACAGGGCAAACGGACCTAAAATATTATTCACTCAGTTTTCTAACCCTGATCACTAAACCTCAGAGACACAACGTTGCAAAATACCACTACCATTCAATCTGTTTAACCTAACTTGAGTGGCAACAAAACCGTCTGATCGTGGCCTTCACTTCTTGTCTCGCGTCTTTGATCCGCCAACAGTAGAGAATTGGGTTCAATGAAGAATTTACGTAAATCAGACTGAATGTAAATATCCAAATAGTGTTCGCTGTAGTACCACTCGAACCCTTTATCGTTATCACTATAGCACAGATAATAAAAGGAATATAACATGCGATTAATGCCAACTGCACCCACGCAATGCTCCAAACTGTTTTTTTGTATCTCCCTATATTAGGTGGCATTCCCTCTCGTCTCTGCTGTCCTCTGTTTTGTACTTGAGTTTCGAATTGTTTAAGTGTCATAAAGATCTTTGTGTAACAAAAAACCGAGATGACTGTAAATATGATTAAAAAAATGACGCCTACTATTGCAGCAACGCTAAAGCTCGTAAAAACTCTCAGTAATACAGCTGCAATTCCAGTTAACCAAAAAAATGACAGAAGAGCTCGAGTGTGCCTTAAATTTACAATCGTTCTGTATCTTATTCCCAGCAAAAGAGCAAGAAGTCTATCGACACTTATTGCACTTAAGGTGAGGATGGAAACTGCACACAAAATGAAATCGATGGCAGTGGCAATGTTCCTTAAGTAGTTCTGGATTTCTGTGTTCATCTTTATAAAGGTGCTAAGCCGAATTGTTACGAAAAGAGGTTGTGAAATAAGCCCAACGCAGAGATCAGTCACCGCTAAGTTTCCAAATAGCAGCTTTGTTGGTGAGTGCAGAGAAGTTACTTTGGGGAGAGCATTCAGGATCAAGGCATTGCCAAGGGAAGCTGTGATAGCAAGGAAGATGTTCAAAGCTAACAGAAATACTTCCACGTCTTTTTGCATTGGGATTAATTGGGTCAGCATGGTTGTGATGTTCACTTCTTCAGAACTTGTCATTGTTTTCGAGTTTAACTCCAGGAGGCGCAAACGTCTTATCTTCGTCTAACGAAGAAAGGTATGTCCTGCTGCTCTTGATAAACTCTCAATTTTAAATTTAAATTAATTTGGGGGCGTTTTGTTAAGAAAAATACAGAACTTTACTTAGGTCAAATTTACAGACAAAAGGGTATTGTGACATGGGCCCACTGGAAGAAGTGAGCTCCAAACTTCATCGAAATAGCCACTAGTAAAGATTTCTTTTGGCCCAATTACTTTTGAATGCCTCCACAACAATCTGGATCATGATTTACGTCTCCAGGGCCATCTTGGCACCAAAGCCGAGTTTTACTTATCACCCCTTCCTACCAGATCTTCTGTGAGTGGGTCACAAAGGCAATATTAGCGTCCGACTAAGTTCGCTCTTTATGGGTAATTTCACTCTAAAAATGGAGAGTTTGAGTGCAGGTTAAAGTAATATCATGAAAATGTCACAAGTCATTATTAATTAAACTTGTATCCTCTTTTCGCCTTGATCATCCCTAACTTATGTAGCTTCTCAATGCTTGTTTTAATGAGCGACTAATGCCTAAGGAATAAAGAAATAGTCGGCTAATATCGATGGGAAGAGATACACAAGCTAGAAAAAAGTTAATCTTAACGTCTAAGTCGGTGTAAAATTCTGATAACGACCTACCCACGCTCCCTGATAGGAAGCAGAGCTGGAGATGACGCTTTTCCATGTTGATCCATCATCTCGCTTGGTTTAGGCGTTTCCAACGGGTAGTTTCATGGCGTGACAGACGAGTGCGATCACCAGCTGTCGTAATATAAGTTATGTTTTTGTTACGTATTTACAGAAAAGGACTGAGTTCTCTGGCGGATTAGCATGCGCAATAATTAGTTAACATGGACAGACCGCACATCCATACCGGCGTGAAACCTTGTGCTAACCTTTTATATTTTAGCTCTAGCCAGCATGTCCTCCAGGGATTTTCCTTTCTTGTTGGAAATGATAGGTGGTTCTTTAAAAATTTGGCGACGTAACGGTTGGTTTTGTATAAGATTCCATTTTTTCATTAGAACTTCTTTTAAAGTAGACACTGAGGGCTGGTACTGTGTCACTAAAGGCAATATTTCTTTTTCCTCTTTGTTGTTGTGTTTCAGAAGTGCAGACTCCCTGTACTGTCGCAATTTGTAATAATCATCGCACTTTGTAATACCTGTCGCAATTTGTAATAAATCCATCGCACATTGTAATACCTGTCGCAATTTGTAATAAACCGTGTCGCACTTTGTAATAAACAAGCTGTCGCAATTTGTAACAACTGTCCATCGCACTTTGTAATAAACTAAGGTGTCGCAATTTGTAATAATTCCATCGCACTTTGTAATAACTTTTTGAGAGTTATTAAACTTACTTCGTCAACATTAATATAACGCCAAAATATGCATCGTACTTCATAAACAAAGATGATGACGTCTGCTAGCACGTAACAACTCCGCTCATTCAAACACTTAACTTTATTCACAGTCCTAAACATTTTTTTTAGATTAATGTTGATTAGTTATCTTATTTACAAAACGCTGTATTCTTAAACCTTGCTATTGTACTAGGTGGCTTGCATTCAATGGTTACCCGGCGGGTGTACTTCCTTATATGGCCAATACGGGGATGCGCCTCTGGACAGAGCATTGCCAGAGTACAGGATCTAGACAGAGCTAGACACACTAGACACAAACGAGCCATCATTAAAAAGCATTTAATTTCCGCAAATCGTAACATCCATCCTACACAATTCGAATAAGGACACCAGGAGAGTTCAAGCTCTCCTTGTTAGATCTTATAACAGGTCGACACAACACGTGGTGCACCGTCCTTGTCTAACGCGCAATCTTAAAGAAGTAATAGTGGCTTCCATATGCATATTTTGGCCTGGAAAGATTCAAAATGTTTAGTGCAAATTAAAAAAAAACACCTCACCAGTCACAAACCGTCGAACCACAACAAAAAACTAAACACAAAATCCTGTTAGTCGCTGGCCAATACCTTCGTATGTACCTGTTTTTTATAACACTCACTTGGGGTCTTACACTAAGCCGGCTGGCCATTTGGTCCATTATTCTCACTTGATTTGGTCCCATATAGGAACAAAAGGAGTACTCATTCCATATTAGAACAATTGTTTTCTATAAGGAGTCCTCTAGCACATATACCATGGGGATAGTAGAAAATTACCCTTCCCTGAGTATAAACAACTCGTAAGACCTTGCAATTCTTCCGAGCGTGTTCTGGATTACTGTTTTTCCACAAAATGGAAAGGATGGAATAAACCATCCATTACTACTTGAGCTACCCTATCTAAGGATCAAACCAAAGACACAAGGCCAACAACGTAAAAAATGATACGTATTAAAGGCTCGAGATCCTCAAAAACCATACCCTATCAGTCGGTACTTACCTATCTAGCCCATCCATATATAGGATTATCCCCCCCCCCCGAAGACTTCACCTGCCACGTGGCAAGCAGACATGGATTTGGACGACGAATGCCAGGTTGTTCATGAATTTTCTTTTGTTAAATGTTGCTTTTGTTATTTAAATATTTTTTAATTTAAACATGATTCATATATTTTTGATGATATGTCACAGGAAGTTTCATGTCTTTCATAAAGCGTTTCTAGTTGGTCACGTGATTAATCAAGGCAGAAAAAGTTATAGCGGAAGACATGCATGTTTGACCAAAGAAAAGTTTACAGAGATGTTACGTGCTAGCAGACGTCATCGTCAAGTACCATGCATATTTTGGCATTATATTTATGTTGACGAAGTAATTTGAATCACTCTCAAAAAATTATTACAAAGTGCGATGGAATTATTACAAATTGCGACAGCTTAGTTTATTACAAAGTGCGATGGACTGTTATTACAAATTGCGACAGCTTGTTTATTACAAAGTGCGACACGGTTTATTACAAATTGCGACAGGTATTACAATGTGCGATGGATTTATTACAAATTGCGACAGGTTTTACAAAGTGCGATGATTATTACAAATTGCGACAGTTCACTCCCTCTCTATGAACTTTATATCTGATAGAGGGTTTTCTATCATAGTTTGTGAGTAGCCTCTTTCAATCAAGCGTTCTTTGAAATTTGAGTTGCTAGCCTTAAAAACATTCTTATGAAACACTGGCAACTGATAGAGAACCAACCTCTTCTTAGACAGATCTACAAAGAACCTCCAATTATATCGTACAAACGAGGAAGGTCTCTCAAAGATATACTTGTAAACGCTAAACTCTGAGAATTAAAGGCTATAAAGACGTCGGTGGAAAGCTTGAGTCAGGCTTCTCTTTATCATGTGATATGTTGCAAATTTATCGCGCGATAATTTCCTCATTTATCGCGCAATAATTTTCGTATTTATCGCGCGATAATTTTAACTTATCGCGCGATAAGTTTGAATTATCGCACGATAACTTAAGCAAAAAAAATATTGCAATGTCCCTTACGGGCCACCGTAACTAACCCCTTTGGAAAAATCTCAATTTTTCGACTGTTTGAACGTTTTGTTTTTATAGCCTAGAAAGGCGTTTATTTTCTTTTAGAATATCATAAAACACATTTTCCGGGCTTATACTGCCCAAAAAAAAGGATGGAAAATGGCCAATTTCGACCAAAACCAAGGACAAAAACCCCTTTGGAAAAATCTCAATTTTTTTTTATCTTTTTGACCTTCAAACAAAGCTTTCAAGATTGTAATAGTATCGGTCGTATATAGTTAGGAAAATGGATTTTTTTAAAGCGATTAAGCGATGATTTTCGTCTTTTAGAGATTTTTAAGAAGAATGTTTGCCAAAGTTCTTATAACTTACATCATGCTTTGTCTCGAGGATACCGCTGTCTTAGGTCACTTCTTTTCTAAAGTCATTATTTCGTGCTTTCACCAAAAAACATAATGCTTCTTTAGAGTAATGAAAAAATGTCAAAAACATTTTTTCAGAGAGCACAATCCATAATAATTTTTCGGTAATTTTTGCAGGCATCGCATTTAAACTTAAAAAAGTATCACGAAAAAACGCTTTTCTAGGTTATAAAAGCAAGACGTTAAAAAAGATTTTCCAAAGAGGTTAGTCCATGGTTTTGGTCAAAAATTGGCTATTTTTCCATCTTTTCTCATAGGGAACATAGGCGAGGAATATGTGCTTTACTATATTCTAGAACAACAAAAAAACGCCTTTCTAGGCTATAAAAACAAGAAGTTCAAAAAGGGGTTACTCCAAGGTTACGCCAAGGTTGTGTCCAAAAATTGGCTATTTTTCCATCTTTTCTTTTTTAGGCAATATAGGCCAGGAAAATGTTCTTTACTATATTCTAGAGCAAAAAACGCCTTTCTAGGCTATAAAAACAAGAGGTTTAAAAAGTCGAAATATTAAAATGTTTCCAAAGGGGTCAGTCCATGGTTTTGGTCCAAAATAGGCTTTTTTCCATTTTTTTTCCTAGGCAATAAAGGCGAGGAAAATGTGTTTTACTATATTCTAGAAAGAAAAAAGCGCCTTTCTAGGCTATAAAAACACGAAGTTCAAAAAGTCGAAAAATTGAGATTTTCCCAAAGGCGTTTCATCGAAAAGGTGTGTGTTTTATCGAAAAGGTGTTTTACGATATTCTAGCAGGAGAACACGCTTTTGTAGGCTATATAAAGAAGAAGTTCAAAGAGTCGAACAATTGAGAATTTTCCCAAGGGGTTCGTCCATGGCTTTGATCAAAACTTGGCTTTTCTTCCATCTTTTTTCCTAGGCAATAAAGGCGAGGAAAATGTGTTTTACTATATTCTAGAACGAAAAAATGCCTTTCTAGGTTATAGAAACACGAAGTTCAAAAAGTCGAAAAATTGATATTTCTTCAACGGGGTTACTCCAAGGTTGTGTCCAAAATTTGGCTATTTTTCCATCTTTTCTTTTTT